TATTTTTTTTATAAACTAATAGTTATGTAGTTTATGTTATATAACCAATTATTCATAGGTATCTGATAAAGACAAGTTAAAAGTGGATGCATGTTTTTTTTTTCTTTAGTCATTTTACAGTATACTTTTCCACTGTTAATTATATTTTAATGAATTATCGGTCAGACTTAAGTAATATTGTTGACCAATTTTATTAAAAACAATAAACCTAATAAAGCATAACATTTATTAGTTGAATTCTTGATAGTTTAGTCCACTTGACTTAATTTATAACTTTTCTTATTAAAAATTAAAATATGGGAACTTTTTCATTATTCCCAAGAAACCATGATATTTGACTGACAAGATAGTAAAGTCTTTCAGAATTATGCTTGTAGAGTTAAAGATAGCATTTTATTTATAAAATATATTACTTTTTAGTCTCAATACTGTTTTGATGTCCTAATTTTTAAACTATGAATTGATTTAGAATGAAACAAACAACATAACAGAATTGCATAGCATAAATCTTCTAATATAAATGTATAATTGTTGATTTGAATTCAAATAATCAACTGAATGTCTAGTTTAGCTAAATMAAAATTAGCAAGACTACAATATCCATTTAAATCATAATTAGTATAATGAATAATTATGTAGCATTTAGATTATTTAAACTATTTATATTCAATGTATCTTTGTCTTCAAATGATATACTTTACTTGTAGAGCTCAAAAACCAATTGGGACATGTTCCAAACTGTTTCCTAATGTGAGACATCAACCTTTTTTAATACCAACTCGTTCTATGTTCATACAAACTCAAGATACTCCTAATCCAAACAGCCTTAAGTTTTTACCAGGTGTTCAAGTAAGCCTTAAGCATAATATGTGCCACCAAAATAATCTGTTATTAAGTATGAAATAAAAATGTTTTTACGAATACAGGTTTTGGAAAAAGGTCATACAATGGATTTTCCTAATGCATCAGCAGCATACTGTAGTCCTTTAGCTAAAGTTTTGTTTCGTGTTGAAGGGGTAAAAAGTGTCTTTTTCGGTTCAGATTATATTACTTTAACGAAAGCAGATGATGATATAGAATGGATGGTTATTAAACCAGAAATATATGCCACCATTATGGATTTTTTTGCTAGTGGTCTACCTATATTAACTGATGCCAAACCAACTAGTGATACTCGTGAGTGAATTTATGATTAAAATTTTAAATTCATTAATAATTTTTCAATTAATATCCTCGTAATTTTTATACAAATTGTTTTTTTTAAGAAATTCATGAAGATGATAATGAAACTGTGATGATGATTAAAGAACTTCTTGATACCAGAATCAGACCAACTGTACAAGAAGATGGTGGTGATATCCTTTTTATAGTAAAACTTCTTTGTTAAGATTACTAATTATTTGAAAATGGACCACTAGTATATGCATGTTAACAAAAAAAAATGTATATATAAAAGTTAATTTCCTAATCTTATGATTCAGTAAGTTCTTTAAAAGAAAAAAAAATRATTTCATCTGATTTGGCATATAATAGATATTCGTCTTAAACTTAAACACATTGGTCACTATCAAACTAAAATATCAAAGATTGTGAGTCAGCCATACTAGAATTCTCTTCAGTATCTCCTAATTGTAATATGTTATCAGTGGCGCACACGTAGGGTACCAAGTKGTGCAATTGCAYTGGTTTCTCGTAGGTCCCGCRGGGCCTACATACATTCGCGGGCCCCACTCTGCAGGTCTCTTGATTAGACACTATAAATACATAACATCTGGTCCATCTGAATATTTAGATCGTTGAATAAAGCGTAAAGMGTTGGTAGTGCCAAATATGCAAACAAATAAATTTGGGGGCCCTATAGTTATAACTGCACTGGTTCGTGGAAAACCTGTGGGCGCCACTGTATGTTATTGTTCATCATTAGCCCATATGTTATTTTGTAATTGTTGTTTATGATCCATATTTTATGTATAAACATAATAATATCATAGTACCTATATTATCAGTTGCAACTGATTTTTAAGTTTTTATAAATTAATTTTTATGTATTTAGGGATATGATGCAGGAATTGTCAAGTTGAAATTACAAGGATCTTGTACTAGCTGTCCAAGTTCTGTAGTTACTCTAAAAAGTGGTGTTCAAAACATGCTTCAATTTTATATACCTGAGGTAAATATGCAAAAAATATTTAATTTTAATTTTAATGTTTAAACCTATATTAAGGCATAACCTATTTTAGTATTATTTTCATATTGATATGGTATATTATTATTAGTTATTAATTTGTGGGTTTGTAACAACATACCAAATCAGAGTACATAGTTTAAAATTAAACTCAATATTTTATTGTGTCTAGTAAATAATATCATATTATGCAATGGTAAAAAGATTCAACTATATACAAGGTGTAATAGATAG